TAAGGACACATAACATGTGTGACATGTCATGATTCCCTTTTATTCCAGAAGTTTGGTCCTTAAGGGGTTAAACATCTGCATAGTAGTATTAAAATATAAATGCACTCGATAGGAAAAACAACCTAAACATCACACTCATAAAGGGTTGTTAATGTATTCCTATATTTATATTAAAATAACATTTCTCAAATAATCCTAAAAAAAAACATAAAAACAGACCAATGCAATGTGGTTTCTGTGTCCAAGAAGTGAGTTTAATTACTAATGTGTGTTCTTGGTTTTGACCCATGTACTGACTATTCTGAACTCCACACTACTGACCTTGACTTGTCTCTAAATCTGAGCCACCTGCTGGCAGGTATATCATCTTCTACCATGGCTATTTGCATTAAGCCAGACCATTCTTTGTCTTGTCGCTCTGTTCTTTTTCCTAAAGTCTGTCTGTTGCATAGATCTTGACCGTGACCTATTTGCAATATATTTGTTGATGAAATTTTGTAAAAAATCGTAAATGTACTGCCACAAATAATTAAAAATTTTCTCTCATTTTTAAGTATGCCATATGATATACATGCTGTTGTAGCCAAAATAATAGTTTTACCAAAGATAAAAGACCATATTAACTTTACAAAAAACGGAACCTGCTGCCTTGAATATTTGAACATGCTCTATGGTAGGTGCATTATTCATGAGAGCTAACAATACAACAGTACCCATGATATTTTTATGTTGGTATGTGTCAGAGAGCCAACAACAGTGCCATCCCATTCGCAGAGTAACATATTTTAAAAAGCTCTGCCCTGGGTCCACGTTTGCTTTAAATTACCTCTGCATACACCCACCTGTTTCAAAAGAAAATTTGCATTTTAAAATAAATATTCTTCTACTACCAGATAACAAGCATCAAAGGTATGACATAAATCAATTTTGGATAGGTTAATGTGAAGCTGAACTTTTTTTAGGGTTTGGACGATTTTAAGATAAAGAAGTCTTTGTTAGAGAGTGCAAGACACAAATAATGTTTAACAGACCTGTGCTCTACAGCAAAGATTCTGCTCTTCGGGGGTCTTGTTTTAGGAGGCCGTAACACTAAACGCAGCTCTATAGACATATTGTAAATATGTGAGGCCATGCCGGCCCAAATCATTTTAACAGAAGGAAATAATTCTGCCCAAACCCATCTTGACAGTGGCACCCTGCCACCACAAATTGGTAACGAGCCCAGGTGTACCTGAAATGTATATTGCCACAACATCAAAGAACTTTACCGCCTCTCAAAATCTTTCTGAAACTTTCTAACAGCTGAAAATTAAAATAAGCTGTCAGTCTACTGAAAAGATTTTTTTTCCCCAGATCAAAATAAATCAGACTAACAATTTGCAGATGTTTGGAAGGAATTATTTGAGTTACTCATTTTCAAAGACAGATCTACCTTTGGTGTTTAATGGCTGTGGTGGCTAAATGCCACTAACTGTTGCCTTTTCATTTTTAATACAGGGCAAAGTTCTGTAAGAGGCAAAACGCTACTGCCCAGGTTAAGCCTTGAGTGTTACATTCTGCAAGATTGAGTTAATGATATGGCTAGTTCGTTAATAGCATGTCTTTGATATTAGCCATATATTATCAGCTACATTACAAAAGTATCTGGTAAGTTAGGAGACAGACAGACAGACAGACAGACAGACCGACCGACAGATAGATACTAAAAGCACTTTAGCAGCATTTGAATTATTCTAGAACATTGTATTTGTGTGTTGTAAATATAGCCTCAGTACATACAACAAACTGCAAGAAATGTAAATTATAAAGTGATATGTAAACACTACACTGCTAAAGATTCGCTTTATGATATAAGTGTTCTCTGTGTATCAGGAGTATTCATTAATGAAAGTCAACATATAAGTCACCATGTATTTTTACTCGAATGTGAAAGTATGTGTCCAAATATTTGGTTCAAAAAAGGATCCTTTCATGGAATGGAACATGTAGAGTCTTTTTACAGGGATTCTGTGTCAGTCATTGATGGTCTTGTTGTAGTTCCGTCTGAAAATGACATTGAGTTCTTTTGATGAATAGGTCAATTTATTGTCTGTACAGTAATATTGCCAATATTGGATAGATGCAAACAATCTCTTCTGATACATTCTAAGGCAGAATGCTTATAGTGTTGGCAGAGTACAAGGTGTGTGCAGCATCCCCACATCAAATCGTCTTTATAGAGAACTTTAACATAGTTTAAAATTACAGGTTTCTGGTGAATGTTTACCTTTTGCTGTAATGCTCATCCCACCAGCTGGATGACAATCTCTGTGAACAATATCTCATCACTTGTCAAGTGACTTGCAGAGCATTTTTTAGAGAAACCTTTATGCATACACTTTATTAACCGTCTGTGATTTCCTTGGTAGCTGCCTTTGCTTTTTTATGAGCTTGGCACTTGCCTCCAATGCGTGGATGCCTAGATGAAACAGGCTGTTTCCAGACGTATCTCTCTTTTTATTTCTGGCCTTCTAGACTTTGAGACCTGGATCTGGTCTCGTCTTCCATTTAATGCCCAATATATTCATTTCATCTGTTCATAAATTGTTCTATTCGTAAATTAAGTTGGTCTTACTATATTCTAGTGTAAGGTTTGTAAAGTCATGACTCTGGAAGGTTGCATATCAATAAAGCCATAAATAAGTGTGCCTAAAAGCAGGTAGGTTATCCACATTTTCTTGCATTGTATTTATATGTTTTTTTTAATTCCTCCACCTTTTTTTCAGCCTCATCATTTACAGTTTCCTTAAGAGATAGAGCTTACTTTTAAACATGAATTCTCGTGCAATTTCCGTAACATGACCAACATGTTTTGCCTTCAGATGTACTAGTAGGCTTAAACACACTGTTGCTTTTTCTGTTATGTCTTCCCCATTCTTATCATAAGGCCTGTCTTGGTGTACCACATTCCACAAGTCATCTTTGGAGAGTAGCAGTTGTTGTTTGTACTTCACAGGTAGTAGTTTTCATAATTCAGCTTTGTCAGCATATCAATGCAGATCACATCTAATGTTGTTGATGTGTTGCTTTAGATTTAACCAATACCATGTTTTTGATTATATATTTTTCCACATTTTGTAGACCCCTAACATATTAGTTATGTTTGCTAAAATAAATTAAGGATTTAAAATAATAGGGAATTTAACTTATAGACAAACATTAGATCAAAACAGAACAGCAAACAAAAGCAAAATAGAATCGTGATTCTCCTTTTGAAATTCCGGTTCCCCTCTCTCTTCCTTTATATTAAAGAGTATAATGTGAGACTTTCAAATACGTTTGAATGTTCCCAAGATGAATAATTTGGTGGGCAAAAATGAACAATTCCTTCTCTATAAAAATTACCCTCAAAACTTTTGTTTAATTCTCTCTGATTTGCCTCTATTTTAATTTCTTGTACAGTGAACAGTCTTCTCTCCCCCTTTTTACATTTTACCAACTTATACATGGTAGGCCATTTATAAATCTTATTAATTAATTTAGAGCAAACCATTCAGCTTTTATCTATTATAATTTGTAAGAATATGCTCAAGGGTGGGTGGGATGGTTATATATCCCACATCCCACCCACCCCAGGGTACTCACTATGTTTATAAATAGAACAAATTAAATGTTCTTCCAAAACACACCAGTTATGGCTAACAACCTCTTCTCACCTGCTCAAATTTCAAAATAATAATAATTTATCCTCCAGGAATTGGGAAATATGGATTAGCAAGTGGATTATAAATTGAGTACTTTAGATGCATCTCCATTATGTGTAGTTACTCAACATAATTTAGATCTAAAGGCAAAAGAGAAAATACTTGAAAAGAATAAAGGATGTCTAGTGATTTGTTCTGGAATTTGATCTATAATATAGTTAATTTGAAATTATATTTTTTTTATTGTATATGTCATTTTCCAACAAATGATGGTTTAGCCATGGGCACCCTGTTTGCATCAAGCTATGCCAATATTTATCTTGGAACAATTAAGAGAGGTTTATTCGGACCAGCAATGCTTTGAAGTCAGAACTGGCAAGTTCATAGATGGTTCTTAGGTGGCATTATCATGGTATGGAGGAGATCAAAAAGAGATTTCTCCCAGTGCAAAGAATACCTCAACAATAACAATTATAATTTGAGATTTACTTCAGTATTGCATGACAAGAAATTTATTTCTTGGGTTTGATCTGTATGTGAAGAATAAATAATCAGTCTGAGTCTAAATGGTTTTTCAAGCTAACAAATGGAAATATATATGATTATTCCAATAGCTGCCATTACAAACCAGGTATAGATTAGGATTGCCAGAAGTCAAATGGTTATGGTGAGAAGAAACTAGTTAAAATAAGCTGACTATACAAATACAGAATTTAAAAATTTATTTATAAGAAATGTAATAAAAAATACAACAAAACAATAATTAGAGATAATATAAAAATATTATTTGTTGTTGAATAGCAAAAATGAAATAAAGGATCAGGACACACAAAATTTAAATAATTTAAAACGTGCATTTATTATTCATTATAATACCTAATATATACAAGTCAAAAATAATTTGCAAAAGCATTGGCAGCTATTATTACAGGATCCAGTTCCAGTAGAAGTATTACTTCCTAATCCATCTATCATATTTAGGTGCCCAAGAAATTTAAAGGCTTAACTTTTCCAAAAGTGAATGTAGTTTTTTATGTGGACTCAGGAAATGCAACAAATGTCATCCTTACCTAATTTTTTTTTGCCGCTACACTTGTGGCGTTTCATTATTAGAATGCCAATGTGTCAGTTAATATGTGAGACAAATGTATAGGAATTTATAAAGATCTAATTCTAGAAAAAAAGAATAATGCCTGTCGGACAATGACGTGTGTATTTTTGCATTTAACTATATTTCATGAATATACATTTTTAATATAGGGGTAATTAAACATAAATCTTCTAGTGTTTTTCTTAACTTATTTTGTGTCTTTTAACCTCCATGTGCTTCTTTTAAATCCTCAAGTGCATCTGTTCACTCCCATGCATTCATGTTAACCCCCTGTCTGAATCTTAACCTTCCCCTTATTTTGTGTGTTTTAAATTCCCCCATCTTATTTTGTGTGTCAAATAATTCCCTCCCCACATACAAGCACACGTCTATTGTAGAGTAGCCTCTTATGACTGCTGCAGAGGATCTCCTGGAATGATAGGGAGCTGCAGTGAAGCATGTAGTGCGTGGCCAGAGAGAGGGGGATAAGACTGAGCATTATATACCCACCCCCTCCACTCTCTGCACACTCTCAGCAGCACACTGTCAACCTAGTCCAAGCACCTATACCTAAGTCATGCTTGACAATGCTAGGTAACAGGTGGGATACAATCTAATAAAATAATAGATTGCTATAGATATCATTTGAAGTCCTATCGTAGAGCACTGCAGAATAAGTTGGCGCTACATAAGTGCCAAAAATAATCATAAAAATTCTAATTTATTGAGTAAACTTAATTATTTTGTAGATTTATTTTTTTTAATTCTTTTTTTTGAAGTGCATAAAGATACACTCAGGCTTATCATGCCCCAACAGTAAACAATAAGCTAGTCATAAAACAAAGCCTCATGTTGTATGGCTCGAAGAGTAAACTTATTTTTTTTAAGGTATAGTAATTGTGACGGCCTCCCCGATGGAAAGAGGGGTTTCGCCGCCAGAGATGTTCTTTTCCCCCTAGTGGGAGGAATGCTGTAGAGCAGAGCAGGAACAGCTCTTACAAGAGCTAGTGATTAAGCACTCCAAGCAGAAGAGAGACAGCTGTTATAGTTTTCTCACACAAACATGAGACAAGGCTCTATGCTGTAAGATAACTGGTTTTAATGGAGATACACAGCCTTTTATGTCAACCCCCATGCACGGAGCACTCCCCTCTGGACCTGAGAGTAGACTATAGTAAAGACAATCATACAATGACATTGGCTCTCAGGTCCAGGGCACTCCCATACACAAACAATGTAATCCCTCCTCTGTCCTTGTGAGATAATTGAATCAGGAACTGTACTAACATAATACAGTTATCTCAGTTAAGCACAGAAAAAATATACCTTCTAACAGTATCCCAAAAGTCATGGAAACCCCACTAAAGTTATATCCCCTGATAACCCCGATCTGGGGGACCAACATATCCAAAGATCACCCAGATCGGTTCATGGGTTCGGGATTTCTATGGAAGTCACATTTTGACCGGCCACACATGAGGCTCCTGCCCAATAGAGTTTCATGAAATCAGGCTGTGCAGTCGGCCTATTTCAGCAATACATGAAACAGTCAAAATACCGAACGTAGGAGTCTATGTATCTGGTTCCGGAGCTTATTCCTACTGAATGCCGCTCTTTTCATATGAATCCAGATTAATGTATGAAGGTATGGAAGTCCCAGCGGTGTCTGCGCCGTTGAGTGTCCAATGATAGTTCCATGCACTCGACGACCAAACACCGCTGTATGTGTTCGCACCGAACGCTGACCACCCAACCGACTGCTTAGAATGCTTGTGAGGGAAAGTCAAAAGTCAGGGCTACCAGAATACAGGGAAGTCAAATGAAGCCAAAGTCAATAACCAGAAAATAAACACTCAGAAATACACTCTCGGACAACCACTAGGGAAACCACGACAGGGCAAAGAGGAGTAGTAAAAATGGGTTTAAATAAGCCCTTTACAAATCTGATTGGACCAAATCGTCCTTTGACCCCAGAACGTGCGTGCGTCTCCTGCATGACGTCACACGCATGCCGACATCATCATCATCACCATGGGCGGACGTTGGGCTATAATTTGGCGTGAATCTGCAGCGTCCGGCAGCCATCAACATGTTGCAGGAGTCAGGTACACTGACGCATGGTCACTGAGCGCAGATACTGCAAGGTGAGGATGAATATGTTACAAGAAACAGCTGCAGGCAGAGTTAGGACTTAGTTACTAGTAGGTATGTTTTCACATAGGGAAAGATGTTTACCCAATTCCTCGAGTAGGTAAGTATTGTAAGTAATACCACAGTCCGCCGAAAGTGGGCCGCATAGTGGAGCCCGGATGAGGCACCACTCCTGCCCCAGACTTTTTTGAGAGCCAGTGCCATTGAACCACAGACTCAGTGATTTGTTGATATCAAGTCCTTCCCCGCAGGTGTGGATGGCGTACAGGGGTCAAACCCCTAGTGGCTTTCAGCCCAAGTGGACGTACAATACTGGATAGTGTAGGTTTGGTATGTGCTGTGCCCGGTGGGGGCCTTCCTGGCTTCTCCTTGCAATGCCTCCAGCCTCCCTCCACAAAGTGAGAGGTAGGTGACACACCCAGCTGTGCCCAGAATTGATCAAAGAGTGCCTCCAACCTCGAGAGGTAAGCATGCTATACTGGTCGGTTTTGGTGCCGAGCACCGTAAAGTCGGTGTGTGTCCATCAGCCATCTTGCCATGTGTTTGATTCTAGCTACAGTTCCGTAACAAGCTAGTTTAGCGGAGACTGGGATAACACCCTCCCCCCTTCCCCCGGTTCAAAGAGGGGGAAGCAGCGCCCAGACAATATCCAGCAGGCTTTAAAAGTGAGAAATCAACGCATCTTTCACATTGGATCGGACAACAGGCCAGAGAGAGTGCCAGGACCCAGTAGGTGCTCTGAATAGCCAAGATAGTCGGTGCAGGATGGTGCCCAGATTCACTACAATTAGCAAGAGACCTTTGCAGCAGCAAGAATTTTTAATTTTTATCGGATATAAGCTGAATTCACAGACCAAGCTGAGGAGCTCCCTCAGCCTGCGTCCTGCTCACATGGCAGCTGGGCCCAACCCCATTTTTTTAGATGTTTTAGATGTACTAATTAATAATACCATAATTTGTCTGTTGTTTTTTTGATTTTTAGAGGTTTAATTTATGTGTTAAATTTGACCATTTTTACTCACTTTTGTGAATGGAGGCAGTTTCCAGTCAATTTAATTTTTTTCCAATTAAGGCCTCGATTTAATATTTTGGGATAAGCTTTTCAAATTATTTAATATTTTTGGAAAAAGTTTGAGAATTATATAATATTTTGAAAATTATTTAAATATTTAAAAACATTTCTATTGAAATATATATATACCTTGAGAAAGACCCGAATGGGTCGAAACGTCGGTTAATTTTTGATGTTATACCTACTGGAATAAATCCCCTTTTTTTCACTTGTTAAGTCCTCAGAGTGCATCTCTTAATTTTTGTTTATATATATATATATATATATATATATATATATATATATATGTGTGTGTGTGTGTATAGCCCCTGCACTCCAACCCAAATGAATGGTACCTGGTGCTCTAGTTGCTAGGTAATATAAACAGAAAAATACCGGCACTCCAAGGATTTCCAACTCAAAATCTTCTTTTATTCTGAATGGTACATCAACGTTTCAGCTCCTCTAGGGAGCTTTCAGCTCCTCTAGGGAGCTTTCATCAGGACTATATATATATATATATATATATATATATATATGTTTTTTTTTTATTTTATTTTTTTATTTTTAAAGGGATACTATAGGCACCAAAAAAACAACTTTAGCTTAATAAAAACATTTTTAAAACTAAAAATATTAAATAGATTTAAAAGTTACATAGTTACATAGGCTGAAAAGAGACACGTGTCCATCAAGTTCAGCCTTCCTCACATTTGTTTTTTGCTGTTGATCCAAAAGAAGGGGGGGAGGAAACAGTTTGCAACAAACTAGGAAAGAAATTCCCTCTTGACCCCAGAATGGCAGTCAGATTTATCCTTGGATCAAGAAGCTATTACCCTACATTGAAAAATTATATCATTGAATATTGTGTTTTCGTAAGTATGCATCTAGTTGCTGTTTAAAAGTTGATACAAAAATATTTATTCAATTGAAAAGATCATCCAAACAAATTAAATCGGGGTCTAAATAAGATCTCCCAACATCTCTATCACACATGGACAAGCAGTTCTTTTTCATTACAATCATAAAAAAAAAAACGTGCAAGTCTTTGAACAAACTGTATAGGAGAAGATTCCTTTCTAGGTGATACACCGGCTCCTGATTGAACAGTGAACTATGGCGCAAGATGTTTTGCATTCTTTGCAAAATACTTTAATCTGCTATTATGCTAAAATGAGGATGCTCTGTCAGATGACTTGTGTTTCTCATGCCTAGAGTGTTCATTTAAAGCACAACAGATGTCAGCTTCTTGCGCTCATACTGCTTACATGTTGCTTAGCATATATACTTTTTAATTAATAGAAGATAGGGGTATAGCACTATGGTCCCAATAATTCGTCAGACTACATTTCCCATAATTCTCTTCAACCCTATTTCTCAAAAAGAACAGCTAGCAGAACAACTTAACTGACTGCTGACCTCATAACTTCCTAAATGTATAATTTATTTGTATGTTTTGCTTTAAATATATATCAATGAAAATGTGCATGTTTTAAAAAAATAAAATTAAAAAAAACTAACAACAACATAAAGCAAAATGACTACTAATCATTGGTAGTCACAAAACAAATACACTGTGCGAACCAGTGATAGACAGTGATGCGTCTCCTGTTGCACAGCAAATACACGTCATCAACTGATTAATTATACGTACAATCATTGAGATATCGCAAAAAATCATTTCATCACATGACACCAAAGATCATATGTTTGTATCATGTTGAATGAAAGTGTTTCAAAAGTCTCTTGCTCTGAATAAACCGTGAAGGGTTAATAGAGTATGTGGCAAAGGCATTAGAATTTTAGCGCGGAGGATCAATAGAGTTATGAGTCATGTGTCATTAGCAGATCTGGTGTTCCACTCAGATGAAAGGGTATATATAATATACTTTTCACCTGGTCCTCACAACTTACTAATCATACAAGAGTTTCACTGAATATGTCATATAGATTAACCTTAATGTCAACCAAGTTCATGTTTTAGTGATATAGATGCTGGCTTTAAAATTATATTTATGGGATTTCTTCAAGAATATGCAGAAAATGGGAAAATAGCATTACTTCAATAAAAGTTGCAAAGTTCACAACTAAAGACTTTGAAATCTTAGTAGTTAAGGTTCTAAATGTATTTTCTATTTTGTACAACAAACATGCCTCCTGGTGGCGAATAGATGAAACAGTCTAAGCATCTAGGATCTTTATTTAACTTTACATCTTAAACTGGTATTATTAACTAAAACAATAATATCTTATGCAGAAATATAAAAATAGAATTATTAATGCTCAACCTAGACATTTTAAAAGTTTAAGATTCAGAGGATAAAAAGGTTCATCTGTAAAGACC